AAGAGACCTTGTGCTGGCTTTTCGGCTACAGGCGCTGTGAAGCTTGGAATCAGGGAGGGAAGTGATACAATTGGCTTGAAGTGCAGTGCTGTTCGATTTGGCAGTTCGCTGCTCGTGCCTGTGAGCTGGGTCAACTGCTATCAACTGCTTGTGACCAGATTTCCGGTGTATGCTCCGCACCACTGAAGGTTTTGTGACGTCTCATTGTGGATCATTTTCGCGAACACACTAGTCATGATTTCGGTCTGAGATTTCAGCGATTCCAGGTTGAGATGAGCTGACCAAGTTTGTGTTTCTTCATTCTTCTTGGGTTGTGTGAAAGCGTAGCACAAAATGCAATTAACACAAGCAACATCAAAGCTTAACGCGTATATACATGCATTTTCATAGCAGTGCATTTTCCGGGAACTGACTTCAGAGCCCCGCCTTGGAACTCAGGAGAGCTGTTTTGAGCTCAGCAATGCTGGTTGGTTTGACAACGATGGTTGCTGGTATTGACGCCCAGCAGCAAGCTAGAGTCAGCTACAGTGTGCAAACTTTGGTATCCGCACAGTATCAATGCTGCCAATAGTTTCAATGCAAGGCAGCTGCCAGGTTACTCATTCTGGGGCGCTGCGGTTGCACACGTCATGATTTCTTGCAGTGCTTAGCTTTGATCCCCAGCATGTTGGAGAGGAGATTTGTGAACGCACCCGACATCTTAGATCCACTTGCTATGTCCTAACAAGATGCCTAGCTAAACGAATGCCACTCCACGTAGTGTACAAACAAATGCATCAAAATGCTATGTGTGTGATAGTTTGATGGCTTGCACCCAATTGAGAAGAGACATAATGAGGCATTCGGTCGTTCAGTCATTGATGAGACATTCGGTCATGAGACTCGGGAGAGCGGGGAACGACACACAGAAATCCAACTGAGGTGAAGAGTGCCAAATGAATTGTGTGCTGGATTTGTTTGCAGATGAACCTGTGCCTGCCAGTGCCTTAATTTGGAGCTGTTCAATTGAAATGATCAGCTCTCAGCCTGACTGTGTGGGTTGTGGTGCCTTTGGTACAGGGAGGACCGTTAAGTTTTTGAAGAACAGCTAAGGCTGAGTCGTGGCTTCAATTCAGCCTTCGCAAGGTGCCACGCTAAGCCTTCGTGTTGGCATTTTGCGTTTGAAACACCAAATTCGACACGCCTTGCCGTCCTCGTGGCAAGCATTCCAATCGGCACCCAATTCCAAGTTTTGCCATGTAATCTTGTTTGTCTATTTTTCAGCATGTTTTGTAGCTCAGGGTGGCGCAACTGAAGAGGTTTCCAAACATTAGGGTTGCCGACGTTGAGGTTCGACAGCTACCAGGCTCCGCTGCATCTCAACTCATTACCTGTGGATGTGGTGAGCTCAGTGGGAATGGATGCCACCGTCAGTTTTGTGCGACACCTACCCCGAGATTGCACTTGTGCCATTCCCTTTCAACAACACTATCGGCAGGAGGAACAGCAAAACTGGGTATATATATAGTACATAGATAATAGTTTATAGACTATAGACTTGTTCAAAGGCTGTCACTAATGGGGGTTGTTGGGGCACTTGTGTAGTTGCTCAATGACTTTGCCCCAGGTGAACTGGTCAAGGCAGGAGGACACGCTGCTGGGATTGTGCACAGAGAGTGGGAGAGAGAGAGAGAGAGAGAGCGACTTGTCACTGCATCGAATGGAGCAAGACTGAGATTATGAGATGGCAAGGAAGCAAGATGAAGCAAGGGCATTGGACGGGAAGTAACGATAGCGAGACACAGAGGAAACACCCAGAACAGCAACAGGCGAAAACAACGATAAGAAACGTGATGAGGGCTCGGTCATCCACAAATCCAGAGTCAAAGGGTCCTTGGAAAGGTCCTCGGAAAAGACCTCGAGAGATCTCTCCCAAGGTTGGCTTGCTCGGTGGCCAGCTTCTGTTGGTCACTTCTGGTGCAGCGCTACGGCTGGCTTGTGGAAAAGGCTCTCCACCACCAGGCGGGAGTGCCAGGCACCAGTTTTGTGTGATTTGGGTTTGGCTTGGCTCGTAACTTTTGAGTATGAATGCCGATCTAAAATCCAGATATGCATTTTCTTTTTTGGGTTATGGTTGCTGAGCAAACCCAGATTTCTTGTTCTCAAAGAGCTGGCAATTTGGCTGCGAGCATGTCAATGTGGGTCTTGTTGGCCACAGGAAAAGCCACCGAGGAGGACCGGGACAAACTTATGAACCAGAGAATTTGTCCGCCGGCCTGTTGGTGCCGTGGCCAACACCTGAGCGGTGCATTGACGGGGAACTTGCAGCAGAAGTTGGTGGGAACAACCGATCCGTTGAGCTCACACACCACTTTAGCATGCGCTCGTGCTTCATTGGCTTAGTTGACTGAAAAAAGCAAAGGTGTATTGAACCCCCTTCCAGCAGTTATGCCGGGCGCGCTGCTTGCAATTTGCCAAAGGATCGCCAAAAGGCCTTGGCAGACTTTGAAGAGCCTTGGGTCGTCGTGGTTGTAGGCAGGACCAGGGATTGCGCCCAGGTTTCGATGCAGATGAAGCGTGAGCTATCCACTCAAGCAATCTAGGAACCACATCATCAGTGCGAGCGTGAGGTATCCTGCGTCCTAGCTAGGAGCTTCCTAGTAGCTTACCTCCTTCCTCAATTGTATTAGTGGGTGCCTACATGTGCGTAATCAAGTAAGGAGGCAGGGCCAAGCGGGCTTGAGTGCTTGATTTGGACGAGCAGACGGGCCACACGGGTTCTTGGCAGATCTGTCCCCCAAGAAGTTGAAGCAACGTCCTGATTTGGGCCGGTCACGCGGTCACACGCAGGGGGCAGCTTCATGCCTGGCGATCCCGTCGAGGTCTGCACCAAAGGGGCGAAAGGCCGGGACCGTGGGGGCCGTGGAGGCCGTGGGGGGGAAAAGGTCGAAGAGACCCTTTGCTACTAACTAGTAGTTTCTTGTTACTAGTAGCGATGGCCTTCAACCTAATTGCGATGGCCTCCACCTAGTAGCTTCTAGCTACTCTGTCTAAGTCTAGGAAGTGTGCCTAATGTAGAGACTTGATATTTCAACCCCCTGCGAAGAGGTTATACACTCCAAATGGGGGGGGTTCATGAATCAAGCGTCTACATTATGTGGATGTTCTCGTTTTCACTCCGCTGGGTGGTGTCAAGAAATGAACCCACCATTCCGTTCGTTGTCGAGCCTGGTGAGCCTAGTGTTGTTTGGTTGCAGATGATGCGCCGTTTCAATATTTTTTCGATAGAACCTCAAGGAGTCTAGTGTTCTCAACTCACACTGTAATCCTCCTTAGACACCTTTCCCCTACATGCTTTGTGCTTGGCTATGACCCTGAAAAACTCACTATGTAGCCCCCGTCGTCCGACAACCCCCCCAAGTCCTGGTTTTGGTGCGATCTTGGACCGTGCGCTCTCTGTCTGCCTCAGGATGGCGTGGCATCGTGAAGGCCAAGACCTCCGAAGGCCATGAGTTTCGACCAAACTCGGAACTCCCCGACAAGGCGATAAAGCACACCTATAACTGCCATGAAACATATTACTGTATGTATTAATGACTGAGTGCTGATTGGGTTTGGGGGAGAGCTGTTGCTGTGTAGACTTTGAGCGCTGAGGGTTCTACACCGTGGAAGATGAGTCCCACAAGACCCACAAGGTCTCCAGTGAAAATTTGAAAGTCGACAGCTTGACAGCGCCGGCGTTGTGACGCAAAAGGAACATCCAAAATCATCCAAACTCTTACATCTTTAGATCCACAGAAGCTCCAAAGAGAAAGGACATGTCAACCAGCAACGAAGGGTGACCCTGTGCCTGTCCGGCAAGCGCTTTGTCTCTTCGGATGTGGCGTGGTGTCCTTCAGAACCTGGTGCTGTGGAGAAACGATGGACCTCGAGGACGATTGGGAACAGTGAGAAGATGGAGTCCAAACGGAAGCTGTGCCCAAATGCCCTCGCATTTCGTTTTCTACTTAGAAGCAACGAGGCCGTGCCCCAGCTTTGCAATGCTGGTCGCTGTTTCGTTGTACTTTGATCTTTGTGATTTGTGAGTCATCATGAGCCCTGTCGTCCGCAGCCAAACTATTTGCAGTTAGTTCGGCGCGGGCTCTCAGGCCAGTTAATGTCCCCTTGGCAGCCCTCACCTTTGCAATGCGTTTGAGGTCATGAGGACTCTTAAGGCTATTTTGGCGATAGTTTTTCTCTATGTGATGAAACCATTCAATTGTGACAGCTGTTGAGCCTGGATTCCCACAGCTCAGCGGCAAAGGGCGCGCCAACTGTACAAAAGCTTTAACGGTGGAGCCTTTGCTTCGCCAACTGACGGAGCGTGACGGTCAATCGATCTGTCCGCCCGCAACTCAGTCGAGTGACGCTTTTTCGAGCAGCAGTCGTTCAGTTCAGGCATCAGCTTCGTCAAAGAGACTTGTCACGCTTCGAACTGTCCAAAGATGAGACCGACAACGGGCTCATAACTGAGCAGTGCTCATGCGAACGCTTCAGCGACTCTGAGGAAGCGGAGATAGAAGACTGTATGGGTGGCAGTCTGGTGGAGCTAAGATGTAGCACTCTGTTGCATGTGGTGCCCGAATCCGCCGTCAGACTGTCCACAGCCCACTCTAGTCGCGGTTTTGGCGGAGCGAGCCGATCCAAAGGTGACGGAGCGAAGACCGTTGGAAAAAAACATGCCGACTTGGCCTATGCGGCCATAGACCGCCACAGCTTTTCCTTAATGTTCCATCGGGGGTGCCTTAGCATTTGGGAATGTTCTATTTGGGTAGCTGGGTGTTTCCTTGGCATGAGAAACAACTGGTACAGTACAGTAGCATGTGTGGTGCTTGCTGCCTTATTTTTGCGTGCGGTAATTTCTCCCGGACATCTACATCAAGCAAGATGACCATGATGCAAGGTTTGAGCATGTTTTCACATGTGATTTTCTGAGCACACCCTCGTCGTGGGATTCCGAGGTCAGCCAAGCAGCTTGAGGCATGAAACCCGCTAGGGTGCGGCGCAAGAAGCGTCGGAAAGGACACTGCTGTGGTGGTATGCGTTGCGTCCTTTGTGTCCAAGCGTGCCTCCTTGCGTTGGTGCGCTTAGTTGCAGAAGGTAGGCTAGAATCGGCTAGAAAGGTCCATAGAGTCTTGGAGCAACATGAGTGCAGCGATTTTCGACTCCTTCAGGAGAGGAGGACACCGAGCAGTTACCTGCGAAAGGACCAGGCCATGCTCCACGTGCTCAGAATCAGAGTCCATGAAGAGAACACTCACTCCTTGCCAGGGTTTCATTGGTACATCTTCAGCTGGGTTCTCAGTGTCAGTGGATTGTTGTGCAGGATGACTTGTCAAGGGCGCTTCCTTGCGCAAACGATGCGGAGATGTATGGGGTGTTGTGCCCGCAGGTAGTGCGGTGAGTACAATGTACATTGTATTAAGGAGCTTCTTTTTGATTTAGTTTAGGGATTGGTTTTGATTCGCTCCTCCGTGGTTTTCCTGCTTCTTGCTGCTTTTCTTGCCTTTCATTGCTTTGCATTGCTTCTCTTTCACTTCTCATGCATTTCTTGCTTTTCCTTCTTCTTTTGGTGCTTGTCTTGCTTTTCCTTTCTTTTCATTGCTTCTCTGTGATATCTCCCGCTCTTCTGGCTTTTCCTGCTTTGTTGTACTATCTTCCTTTTGCTAGCTTTTCTACTTCTTTTCTTTACTTTCCTGCCTCTTGTCTTCTTGCGGCGCATTATTTCATTTTTTTAAAGTTGCTTTTGCTTTCCATGCCCTTTGTTGCCGTTGCTCTTTAATTTTGCTTTTCAGACCTTGAGTTTGTGTTGCTTTTCTGGCTTTCTATACTTTTCCTACTTTTGTTGTTTGTTTGCTCTACTGACTCTACTGGTTGTTTTGTTGTTGTTTTTTAAAGCGTTCGTTGCGTCTGTGGGTTTGGTACGTGCTTTGATTACTTGGTGTATTGGATCGAGAAGGCAGTAAAGAATGAAATAACTTTGTTCATATGATGCACTTTGGCTATTGCCCAATGCTCCGAAGGGGCATCACCGTCACCGCTTGGCAACCAACATGATTTTGGCTCAAGTCCCGACTGAGTAGGTAGGATATCTAAAATTACAGTATTTAGATGCCAAACAGCTCCAAGGCAGGTAGCAACTTTTGAAAACAGTCCCTGATCCCGAACCGTTGAGTTCGTTCGCCATGGTGTGCCTCAATATCCCTGGCATTCTGTCTTCCAAAAGGTCCCAAGTGGTGCGGTGCCCTCCCGACGAGCAGGCGCAGAAAATGCGAGACCTTTGCATGAGTCACTGAAAGCCTTCCAAAGCCTTCTTGAGGAAGCTGGATGCGGTACTATCCTTGAATGCAACAAAAAATTCTGTCAAACACAGTTGTTCAGCTCACTTGCTACCACTAGTATCTAGAATCTAGAAGAGTCCACCATTGGCAACTCTACAATCATCTATATACATAGAACCATCGTATCAGGAGGTATGTTCAGCACGAGCAAGGCCCTCACAGACCTCTTGTTCAGCTATGGAGTTGACACCTCGCAGCTCGGCTGCTCTCGGTGGTCTCCTTGCGCCCCAAGAATCGGAGGTGATCCGGCGGTGATCCCCAGGCTTTGGAAGCCCCCTAGCAATACCACGAGAATCATCAATCAAGGACAAAGGCGACAACGGGATCATTTTATGGGTGGATGGTCATACAAGTGCGAACTTCCGAGGTCCTGGGGCGACGGCAAAGCCAAGCCCGCTGCCTCACTTCTGCGAGAGCTGAAGGAAGGCAGCTGCAGCCTGCGCGTTGAGAAGAAGAAGCGGGGTCCTCAGCGGCGACCACTGAAGTTTTCAAACCATGGTGGTCCATGCGGTCCAGATGCCAGGCACTTGGCCTAATAAAGCCCCTAAGCTCGGAGGAGAGTTGAAGATCACGGTGCACCAACCCCTCAGATGGCACGGGCCACAGTAGCCAATGAGAATCCCCAACACAAGAGAGAGAGAGAGAGGTTCTAAGAAAAGCGTTGGTTTGATTGTTTCATTTGCATGCCTCCCATCGGTCATAAACTTTGTTTCGTGGAAGACTGAACATGCATGCAATCTGCTTGGGGCTTGCAATTGCAAGCGCCAGCTGATTTTGCCTCGAGGCTATCCAGGCAGCTCGGCTTTCCCTCTTCGTTGCCCTCTGATTTTCCATGCCCATGTGAAATGCAGAACTCATGTCATTTGATTCTTCAACTTCTGTATGCCGCAGACCGCAGCCGCGAATCTTGAGGTGGGTAGAGCCGATATTTGTTCAGATCACCTACAACGGCAAAGTGCTGGTCGAGCGAACCAAGATTTTTCCCAACGGCTCGGAGCGTCAGCATGCAACGGTCCTAGCAGAGAAGAAGGCCCGCAAACTTTGAGGTAACGCGTGCACATGCCCTGCACATGCACGGCATGGTATGCAAAAACCGTGCTAATGACCACACAGACTTGGGTGCCAGTGCTTGCATGTGCATACTTCCAAAACTTTCTATTCTCTGTCCAATTTTCCGAGGTCCCAGACCAACCCATCAATTCCATTGTTTCAATTGGAGAAGCCATGCTCCATTCTTTTGGATCAGAATATTGGCTGGTGCTCGGTCTAAATCTGCAGTTGCGTTGCCACAATCGTCCCATTTTCACATCCGCTCTGCACCACAACCCTTTGCTCAGTGGCCGGATGATGCTTCGAGTGTCGATGCAGCATTGCGGGGGATGCGGGAAGAGCTGCATGTGGATGTGACGAAGGACACTGAAGGCTTAGTGCCTTGCCATTCTTCTGATCGCACTATACCTATACGACGTTCATTGGATTCACCAATCCTTTTGGATGTGTTGGTTTGGCTCAACCTAGGTGCATTCTCCACAAGAAGACATTTGCACCCTGGCTAGTAGTGACTGGCCGGGAAGGGAGGGTCCACAATATACTGTACAAGGTTTGCACTGGAATCGATGTGCCTCTATATATGTGGCACAAAGCTTTGGCACATCAGAAAATCGGACGGTATTCATGACATTCCATGACTCAGTCTCATACTTGCTTTCGGCAGGGTGTGTACGGCAACAGTGCCAGGGGCCTCGCACAGTCGAGATACGATGCACATGGCACAGGGTCTTGCAATTTGGAGCCGAGGCTTTGTGGAGAGGATTGATTCAGCCAGTTATCCGGGCATTCCGGCGATATACGAGTCGTGGCTTATTCTCGCGTTTCCAGGCTTTTTCCAACGGAGAGTCCGGAGTGGTGTCCTGCTTACCCCCTAGCGGCTCTAAGGGTCTCAAAGCAGCTCCTAAAGATTCCTTGAGTCTTTTGACCTAGGACACAACTATAATGCGATTCAACATTCAAAGCGGCAGTATGGCAGAACGTGCCTTTAGCCAGTGTGGTGTCTTGGAGAGATGGGCTGCAGGCTGCAGTGGTAAGTGCGCAGTTTGATTACCAAGTTGGCAGCGAGTTCATTTAGGCTCCTAGAGTTGTATCTGGTTCAGGAGATACGGAGAAGAAGGGTAATGATTGTCCAATATGTTATTCGTGATTGACACCTTTTGGAACTTAAACTCATTTTTATCCTGTGGGCAGAGTTTTCTTTTTTCATGTCGCCAACCGGGCCCATCTGGCGGGTGATAAGATTTCAAAAGAATTGGGCAATCGCAATTCAATCATATAGAATATATTATCTACCCCCCTTAAACTAACCAACATGTAACCTGAGAATTCACCCGTAGAAGATAATTTTCCTCTACAACCCAGTGGTTTTGGGGTTCCATGTTCATTTGCAGGGGAGTAGTTCATGGGGGGCCCCATCAATAAATTCCTAGTGTGTGTCTTAAGGACTGAGCCCTGAACCCCGTGAATTTACTTAGCGCCCAATGAAAACAATCGAGGCATGGGCAAGAGTGGCAGAGCATCCATAGTAAGATAAGAGCAAGGACTCCAAATTCAATCAACTTCTAATCTATTAACACTAGTTACATGCGATATGACCAACGGATTTTATACTTTATATTGATTTTGATAGGCCTGTAATCAACGAAGGGCTTAGTGTGAACTACGCGTGCTCAAAAATGCAACTTGTCATTGATATGTTATCATATCTTTTGCTTGCGAGATGAGGGCTGAACTACGACCACAGGCCACCCGAAGTGCCCCAAGGTTGGAGGAGGCCCGCAGGAAGGCCGACCAATGTTGCTTTTTAACATAGGGAAACATATATATGATAACAATATATATATATACATGTTTCTAAAACCCCCGCAAACTCTTGGAGTTGTGGGACGGACTTGAGGTCTTCTCCCCCAGTCGCTGCGCACCCTGCCCTTCCCAGCTCCCATCGCGCTACAAATCAAATTGGGCCAACGGCCTGTTAGCATGCCCAGGCCTTCCTGCGTGCAAGCGCTTTGAGACAGTGGAATGGAAATTCGAGGGGCCCCTGCGACTTTGCTGGGACACTGGGATGATATGGAACTGTTTGATGGTTTGATGATGTTTGAATGCTACTTATTTTGACAGTTGAGTGCTTGCAACAATTGCCACAGTTGTGCTGCCATGCTTCCTCTCGCCGAGGAGTGGCTCGAGTTTCATGAAGCCCTTCAGTGCCGCTTGACGTGTCCAGACCGGCTCAGAAGTCTAAGAATCCCGGCCAAGTGGGCTGTTGTTCTTTTGGTTCACAGGGAGCCTTGCAGACGGCATTTGCTGGTACAGGTGGTGTGAAGGGAATGGCGCCACCGCCTGGTGTCTCTGTCCAAACGGCGTCGTGCAGGCCCGTTTGGGACCAGAGCCTTGGCTCAGTCGACTCAGAGCTGATGGTAGTTTCAACTTGTCAAACGTAGCTTTCTTCTGCCACGGAAAGCCGCTGATGCATGGATGAAACTCATTGGAAAACCAACTCCGGATGAGCTACCTTCTCGTGGCCAAGGGCAGACCAAATTGGTGCAATTGTTCAACACACACAGCAACTTGTCCACACAGGCTAGGAAGTGACAGGATGGATAGTTGAGCTTGGATGAGATTGGTATCCAGCTTAGGTTGAGATTGGAGCCGTAGCAGATCAGCAAACCGTCACGAGACCAATCAATTTCCTCTTTTGAACCTGGCTGCAATGATTAATTTTCCGCCGTGCGAGGGAAGGGGCGATTGCGCTTCTGCCTTGTACAGGCGATTGCGCACAGATATAGTCAGATACGCGCTTTTGACCTCCCAATGATTTCAATGTTGTCACTTAGAACATATTTGGGGAACTTTCGGTTCTTTGCGTAATTCTAGCTTCATAAGTTAAAACATCAACACACAAAAGACAAAGCTTTAAGTTTGCATGGATGGGACAACAGTATCAGTATATACATGTTCGACATGCCACAGCGATGTGCGCTCAGTAGTTGCCATCATCACACCCTGCTGTTCATGTACACGTTGGAAGACCGGGGCAGAGAGGTCGGGACCGACCAACATGTGCCCAAAAAGAACGGTGAGATGCCACCGTTTGTTGGTCTTCGATGTTCATTTTTTGTGGACAACCGTTTGGTATTTGGTTTTGGTATTTGGTTTGCACCTGCTGTGTTTTTTTCTATGTTCCACTGCGGAAAAGACTATTCTCATTGGTTCTGAAAAAGAACTGAGTCGACATTTAATGTGCGCCTGTAGGCAGCTTTGGCTACATGAAAGGTTGCCTTCAAGGGGCCCTTAGCAGACCTAATCAGCTCGACCCCCCGCCTGTCAGAACAGGAACCGAAACGGCTCCTAGTGCTGTGTAGCGCATTCATCAAGGTGTGTAGGTGCCCTTTGCATTGTTTTTTTTTCCGCCCATTTTCAATGGTGGGGTGGCTTGCGGGTTGAGATGCATGGCGCACGGAGCCACGCAGCTAAAACACTGCTTGGCACGCAACTCCCTCTTTTTGCTTGAGCAGTGTGAAGCCTGTTTCAGGCTTCAACTGCAACTGAATCAACAGTCACACAACTATATATATATATGTTTTTCCTTCACGCATTCACATTCCAGGTCTGAGCATCCTCCTGGTCACCGCGTTTTCCTTTCTCAATTTCTTAGTGCCTCGGCTCACAACCTGGATCAAGCTGAATGTCGAGAAAGACAATTGGAAAGGGAAGCTCCCCTTAAAGCTCGAGTGCTTCAGTTTGCAAAGTTACGGGCTGCTTGTCCTGCTACTGTTCAGACTTTTGCTGCAAACAAGACCTGTTTTTTCAATATTTTTTTGCTGGTGGCGCAGCCTAGTCCCTTCCAGATGCTCGAGCTCATTCCTTGCTGAGTGCCGCTGAGATGCACAGTGTGCCGACCTTTCACAGGTGTAATGTACAGCCTTCTGAGCATGACCGCATAACGTACGGCCTTCCGTGCTTGCCTACTATGACATCGACTTGACATATGCCGCCCTATGGCAGGGCAGCAACACATCCTTGGGACTCGATCAGTAGACTCTCAGTAGACTTGAGATCCTACAGTACAAGTTGATACAAACCACTTCAAGATTGTTTTATTGGCTTGGCCTTATTTATATAAGAACATAAATTGTCAATATGAATGAACATATGAACACATATGCTTTTAAAAATTTTTTTTTGTGCTTGCAGAGAGCGTTGCCAAAAAAACTATAACTATATAATGCGATCTATTTGTCTAGCTCTGACTTATACGCAAGCTGTTCATTGTCTAAATTGGCGAATGGGCGCGTAAAATTGTCATGTCTTTTACTTTGCAAAAGAACATTTGCACGCAAATCCAGAAAATAGAAATGTTATGAACATATGGAACGTTTATGAAACAACTTCTGGAAAAAACACTGAACGTTTTGCGACGCATGAGAATCTAGACAACTTATTGAACATCTCGAAAACTTATGAAACACATTTTAAAATATGACACATATAAGGCAACATGCCTCCTATCATTGAATGGACAGCTGGAGTCCTCAAGAAATCCCGGCTCAAAGTGCATGCAGTGGGCGTTCGTGGTCGATCTTGTCCGCGAGCTTCGGTTTTTCTTGCCATCGGCGTCGTGCGCCGGTCCTTCCTGGGCTTTGCTTGCGCTTCTGGTCCTCAGTGCCTTCTGGCTTGGTGTGGGGTGTGGCAGTGGCTGCACATTTCATTTGGCAACCTCACCATTAGGGTTCAGCAGCACACTCCTCGAAGAGGAGCTCCTACGGAATTTAGCGAGCGAAAGCTCGTTCAGCCTCGTCTCTCAGGTCCCCTCCTCGGGTGCCCTTGCAGGCGCTAGGGCCACCAGAGGCCAACCTTCGGTGCGGCTACGATTCGCCTGCAGCGGGATTTCCTCTTTGGGTGCAACGAGAGACTTGGGGGTCCTTTTGCTACCGGCTGATTGGGAGCGCTCGCTCATTCAGGCCAGCACACCAGAAGCTCTTGAGCGCTTGGGCTTGCCTTCATCACGAAAGGTAGCCCTTTAGGGGATACCTTGAGTTTGTCTTGCGAAGCAAGTGTTGGGACGTCCGGGTCTAATAATTGATCGCTCAATTCAGACCCCCCCCCACCCCCCCCCCCCCCCGGATGAGTTTTTTAAAACAAACCCCCCCCCCTCCCCCCCTCTAAAATCAATTTTCTCTCCTGGAGAACGTCTTCGTGAGCCTCTCATGATTTCAGGATAGTTGAAACCCTCTTGAACATTCAGAAAGAGTGAATATGAAATTCAAATCACGAAAGGTGTTCCCCGAGGGGATACATACCTAGAGTTTGTTTTGTGAAGCACGTCAATTCTGAGCCTTTTATGGTTTCAGGATAGTTCAAATCCTATGATGTTCCGATTCAATGCTCACCGATGATCTGAGCCATGGGGCAAGTTTGTTTTCCTAAGAATCTTTTTGAACATTTCGAGAGCATATGTTTGAACATTTAGAGTGCATATGAACATATATTTACGAAAGGTCGCCTCCGAGGGGATAAATCACCATGTCGAATATTGCATTTTTGTTCCTGCCTCTCGCGTTCTCTTCTCTTCCCGCTGTCCTACCTTTCGTGTCTCCCTCCTCTCAAGTTGTCATCATTGACTTCTCGTTTGCCGGCAGCACACGGAGGCTGGACTCCGAAGGCACGCATTGCTCGCGCTTATCGACTGGGCTGGCTTTCAAGATTTGAGTTGGCAGGGGCTCAACCACCTGCTGTTGAGAAGCGGGACCTTCCTTTGTCCAACCGTGTGTACGTGATCCTTTGACCAGCTCCTGGTTTTGCTGCCGGGTGGACTGAGAATTACACCTTGTATTTGGAGAACGTCAAAGGGCAGCGCCCGCATCGGTGAGTCGCGGCTTTCCTTCGCAGGCTGAAGGCAAAGCCTACTGTGACGGAGCAAGAAGAGCATGGCCTCGTCCGCTTCAGCGGGCGTCCAGGGATTGAACGAAGCAGCTGTCCGGGCCCTGTATGGGTCCTTGGGGCCGACCGGCCGGTTGCCAGGTGTGTTTCTTCGATTGCTCACCCCGAGAAGACGGCTTGGGATTTCGTGCATTGGGCTACCTTCTTGGCGTTCGAGCCGGAGGTTTCATGGTGGCCCTTCCAGATGCTACAGAGGCGTCGGCCTTCTTACTGGCTCAGGAGTTGCCCGGAGGAGGAGAAGCTGTGGCATTGCGTCTGGTCGAACTGGACATGGAGACTACCAGAGGCAGGCTGTTGGGTGTCGGGCCTCTATAGCAGATGTCTGCTGGGAAGTGGCATCGCATTTCATGAGAGCCAATTCATAAACGCCTCTGTTTATTTCCTCATCAAGTTCGAGTTTCAAGAGCAAGCATGCAGGCCCAGAAGAGCAGCAGCTATGGAAGCCTCCGAAGTCTGGATCAACGAGATCATTGACGGATCTGTAGGACTGAGATCTGACCTATGGCCATGTCCCCCCCCCACTCTGGGGGCGATGGACACCGCCGAACCTGCTCTCTCCTCGCCGTCGGAAACGGCGCCGGTTTCTGCGCATTAGAACCTTAGCTCTGCAGACCTTGGTGATTTGCCTCAGCTGGCTAACGCTGGGGCATGCTATGCAGCCGCCTGAGTACGCGCGGGCCGGCTATCCAGCGAGCCCTCAACAAGAGGTCACGCTAGCTCACCTCGAAGCGCTGGTGGACTACTTCTTGAGAGCCGGAACCCAGAGTCTGGACAGTCTTGGCAGAAGCTTTGGGAATTAGGTAATTTTGTTTGTGCATTGAAGCCTTCTTCGAACACCTTTGATTTCAACTATGTCTCCAGTTTTTTGAATTCTCTCAAAGTCTCGTTTGATAGTTACTCAAACACCCCAGTTCGAAAGCCGTCGTGGCGGGTTGCATGCGTTCGGACGAGTGTTTGCAGTATCGTCGGTCGTGTCCTCGGGGACCTTTCTATGAACTCCTCACGATAGATGGTCACATAGGTTTGCAGAGGGTCAGTTCTGTTGAACGAGACACTGCACAGCCAACTAGATGTGACGGTGTTTGCAAACGCTGAACGTGCGTATACAGACGTAAAGTTGACCGCTCATCCGGGCAAGCGGCAGAGACAAGTAGAACACGCAGTGGTGCTGGGGGATGAAGTACACGGTTCCGCAGGCAGAGTGTCAGCCCCTCGAACGCGGATCGCTGCACTTTGCTACATCACCAGCCTCATTGTGTTTAAAGGGGTGCGCGCAAGACAGATCTTGCAAGCAGTTTTAGGCTGTTGGACCCATGTCATGCTGTTCGCTCGAAGTTTTGCACAGTGTTTTCCATGAAGGTGAAGGTTTCAACCCAGACATACACTTCACTTTGTCAGCACAAACGATCAACGAGCTCATCACGTTGTGTATATTGGCGCCCATCATGCGAACCGACTTACGAGCCTCTGCAGCGGATACGCTGTACATGATGGATGCCTCGCCTTTCTATCTTGGGGAGCTCTGCTCTCTCAGAACTTTGGAGGCACACTGAGCAGCGTGGGTACTACGCTCGCCTGGCGTTGCGTGAGTTGGGCATTGAACATGAAGATTGCTTTGGCCCGGAAGAGCAGCCTTTCGATCTCCATTCTCCACACCCTACCCGGAATCTGAAAGACTCGACTGTGATCTATGACTGTGTTGAGTTGTTTTCAGGTGTGGGGAATTGGAGCAAAGCGCATGCAGAAGCCGGTCTGCGAGTACACCCAGGCCTTGAGCGAGAAGCCAAGGGTGCTGCCTTTGGTGACACGTAAGACAAAGCTACTCTTGTTTTGGCTAAGCTGGCACGTGCAGGCGCCATTCGTGAGTGGCACGCTGGGCCACCATGCTGGTCATATGGCGCTACGCTCGAAGAGTTGTCCAGCTGGGTTCAAGTCCAAACCATTCTGACACTTGCCTTTATGAGTGGCTGCTTCATTTCACGCGAGCAGCCAAACGGAGTCTGTGATGTTCAATCTACATGCGTTCAGAGTGTTGCAAGAGTTGGGATGTTGGATTGTCAGGTTTTCCTTTTGTTCTTTTGGGTCGGGTTTTCAGAAACCGAGCAAGTGGTTTCATAACAAACCTTGGTTGTGCTCCTTGGGCTCGTGCTGGAATTGCTTTGTTTGATCAGAGATGCAAAGTGCAAAGCAGATACTCGTACAGCATATGGCCGCCTACCGTCCCCTGCAAAAGCAGTGAGCAGCTACTCTGCTTCATATCCTCTTCCTTTGTGCAGGCGCATGGCCTCAGGAAGTGCAGTTGCAATCAGACAGGCGGGTGCTCACAGGTGGGAGTTCCAGCAGCTTGTGATAAAGTACGCCTTCAGGCAGAATCCGTTCGGCCTTGGCATGAGGACCCTGAGTGGGTTGAAGATCTTTGTGAAGCATCTTTGTGAAGCATTGCAGTACAGCGAATTGTTTCGTTACAGGTTCAAGAAGACTGGCCACATAAATTGTCTGGAAAGCAGAGTCCACAAGAGCTGGCTGAAGCAGTGTTCAAAAGCTCATGTGAACTCGAGAATCCTGGGCATATTGGACATTCGCGTGACTATGGGAGCAGCGGCCTGAGGCCGGAGTTCTTCACAAACGATTAGTCACATTCTTCGTGCTTCTTTGGGCTAAGTTCTGGGAAGTGGGCTTTATCCTGGAATCTTGCATCGCAGGTCAAGTTGGAACAGAGCTGACGGTCCATCGCGTGATCTTGAAGTTCCCAGCCCAAGTCGCCCTGAGCCCGAGTGGTTGCGACAGTTTCGAAAAGGTGACTATCGTTTGTTTGATTAGATGTTAGCTGCAGCTCACTGGACGAGGCCTGTGGGGCGGTGGTTCAGATTGTTGTTGATCATGGCAGGGGACGTTGAGGTTAAGCCCTGGTCTTCCGGGCAAGCCGGAGGGTTACACTCCCAGAGGTGAACTAGATATGCTAGGCGGGTTGTCACAGGCGACCTTCGCAAGAATGCAACGTTGTTTGAAACTTTTTGCTCAATGGTGTGCTACAGAGGTGCAACTAGATCTTGAACAGGTCTTGAGCAGCTCTGAAGCGGCAGACTTTGCATTGCGTGGATACGGATTAGCATTGTTCAGGACTGGGAAACCTCGTTACCTGCTGGTCCATACGATCACGGCAGTACAACAACTTCGACCGCAGTTTCGGAGGCAGCTTTCTGGAGCACGGCAGGTGGATCACAAGTGGCAGATGGAAGAGCCGGGCCAGTGTAGGGCAGTGTTGTCTGCCCCAGTCATTCGAGCCTTGATCTGTTTGTCCTTTTTGTGGAAGTGGCCCTGTTTTGCTGGCATTGTTGCAACGGGGTTTGAAGGTATGCTTCGCCCGAACGAGTTCATCGAACTCACCCGGCGTGATGGCACGCTTTGCGCGCCGTCAGCGCATCAGAGTAGATGACATTTCCGTCATCAAGTTGGCCCGTTGTTTCTTTGGACGCTTGTCTCTGCCCTCCAAGCTCTACCCGGCTTCAATTGCTGTGTTTCGAAGGCAATGGAATGCCTTGTTGGATGCAATGGAGGCCCCTCCCAGACAGCTCGAACATGGAGCGGCCCCTGGTACACTCAGCGGACCTGCTGCGACGCACCAGTACTTTCAGGACGAGCCCATTTCCCACATACAATGGAGAGCGACTACGAACTTTGGAATATTACATCCAGGAAGTTGGGGCCCAACTTTTCTTGTTCAGTTTGAGCAGTCGTGCCAGACAGAAGATCATCTTGCTTGAAACCCATCTGGGTCGCTTGCTCCAGGCCAGCTTCCCGGAGAGTTTTTCTGATTGTGCATAGCAGACGGCTGAGAGGGGAGAACAGCTGTCGAATACATTGACTTCGTCGAGCATTGGCCATACATTGAGTTGACATTGGTCGTATGTCGTGCTTGGTTGCTTTACATTGTGCTTGGTTGGTTGACGCTTGTACATTGTTGATTGATGTCGGAAGCTGCTTCAATGCTTGTTCTCAGCTAGCCACGTGGCTTGAGTCCTGAATACCAGGACGTGGGCAACTTAGACTTCAGCGGAAAAAACAGAGAGTGAAATATATACAGTACTGTACTATTTTTTCACATGGCAATGTCTTAAAATGTGTGTGCTTTTCTAAATAACGCTGTCATAAATTTGGTGGTATTGGTCATTAAAAAATGCGCGCGTTTTGGTTTTTTTAATGACTTGGCCTTGTACCTGACTTGTTAGATCTCAACAGTAGACTCCATGCAAACACTAATGTCAAGCCGATGGTTTGGCAAAGCACATGGAAACTTGCAGAAGTTGGTTCCACAGTCCACATTCAAAAAGGTATTTGACATCTCAGCAAAGTCTCATTTGCCAAAATTGTTGAACTTCCCCGGTTACTAAACCCATGCAGACTATCAGGTTACGACCATGACAACTTTCACCAAAAACCACGATGCATAGTCAACTCTACGGTTGGTAGATTGAGGCGGCGGGTAGCTCGCAAAGCCGACAAGGAACTCCAGACAAAAATAATGAAGAAATTGCACAGCCAGCAGGCTTTCCTGATCTCATACGGTTTTTGGACCCTTGCAGCCTTTGACTTTCTTGTGTTGCAATCCCTGTGCCACTCGTTTCCTCATCACAGCCTCTCGCCCTAGGCCGTCCTGCTGAAACGCCGAGCCGCCATATCAGGGGTCTGCAGCCTCGGCGGGGGGATGACCGGCGTGAGAAATCTCAGGAGTTCAATCGGTTTAAGTCTTAACATTTTTTTTCAGGGTTTCGAAAATTTTGCACTATTTACTGCAGCTACTCAAGGAATTGTGAACCAACCTCGTGAAGTCGATGCCGTTGACGTACTACACCTCTCCATGGCATCAGTCCAAAAGAGCACAAACATGCAGAAAGAGCCAGAACTATCCATTTTCGATCATTTCCTGTTGCCATCCCACAATCCGCTGAGGACCCGCACTCAGATCCAGCATTCCATGGGATAAATGATGAGGTCGGAGTGGGCATGTTTCTGTGGCCTTTGAAGACCCTACAAACGCTTGCTTGCAATGGTTTGACTCGGCAACGTCGAGTTTGAAGTTCCCAGCGCGGCCCAGCGTGCGCTTGCTGCCTTTGCAGGAGAGGATCGCCTTGCTCAAGGCCGGAGGGGCTGAACATGATGGAAACGGCCTCACCGTTGGGCCTGAACGCAGGTCGTGTGGAAGCGAGTTTGTTACTTGATTTGACCTGCAAGGCTGCAGAGGAGGCATTGCAAGCACCTTTGCCTGTGGTGCAGGCGTTTGCTGCTGTGTAGCACCCACTGTTCATGGGGAGTTGCTGTAGTAGAGTGCCTGCAACGGTTCTTGTGCCTCGTTCCCCAGTCGTGTTTCAGTAGGCCCACCACCCGTCCTCACCCCCTACCCACACGCCAGTCAGTCGGAGAGGCTGACCAGGGGCATGAGCATGCTGCGTGGGATGCTCAGTGCGTGGGATGCATGTTGCAAACTATTTGTAGCATAGCTGCTAGCAATGCAGCTGATCCAGGCTTCGTGGCGGCCAAAAGCCATTTGCCACCTCAGCTCCAGGGCCTCCAGCTCCTCCAGAGAAGAGTGCGGCGAACATGGCGTGCGGGGCAAAGCAGCCAATAAACCGTCCACGACAAGAATTGATCCAGTCAAGCTCGGACGAAGCTGTTCGTTTGGGGAGACAGTTCAGTCATTTAATTATTAGACCATGAAACAAGAGTAACACTATATATATATATATTTATACAATTCCCCAGCAGCGAAGCTTCAGGGGTCTTCAGCACTGTATAGACCTCTTAGAAGATTGGAGCAGGTTCTGGTTCTGGAGCAGTTTCCGGGTTCAAGAGGAGGTTCCAGAGCGGGTTCTGGAGGAGGCTCCGGAGTACGTTCTGGACTCCAAGTTCAGGAGCAGGTTCCGGAGGGGGTTCCGGAGCATGTGCTGGAGCAGGTTGGGAGGAGGTTCCGAGGAGGTTCTGCAGCCGTTTCTTATCGGAGCAGGGTCCGGAGCATGGTGTCCCACTCCAACCATACCAGCACTTTTGTAACTACTTTTTCGGCGACCAGACAGCGTTGCAGCAATGAGTGCGGTGATGTTGGTGGGTTTCCTGGGTTGCTTTGGACGCAAGCCCGCCGGGAACAGGTAGGCTATAGGCTGTAGCTTGACATAGTTTTTCGGTACGCACGCAATTTTTCTAGTTGTTGTTGGGGGTGTTGCTTGGGCTGACTATATTCATTAAAGTATAGTTATATATCTATGTATATATATATATATATGTTTTTTAATTCTGATGTGCACGTACGTCAGTCTATATCAAACTTCCTTTATAGGACTCACATGTTGGTGAGGCTGCAGGCAGTGGATTCCTTGCGTGCAAGATCCAAGGTGGCTGGATGGTTTTCGAGATTCTTTTGGATCTTCTCCGGTTGAAGGTTGAAGTTGGCAGAGGTGGCCGACAAATCAATCGGCTGCGGTTGCGCCAGGCCGTTTTCTCCGCCATCTCTATACCTTTGCAGCTGGGCTCTGGTGGAGGCACTTTTGGAGCCTTTCCCCCGGCCATCCCTGGGCCAGCTTGTGAATAAGAGAAGGTTGAACTATCCGATCCTTTTGGAGGGAGCAGGCGTCAGATGTAACACTTCATGGACTTTTGACTGTTTTGACCCTCGGCTCAGTTTGTTGGAGCCCTGGAAAGGCATTGCGACCTTCTCTGGTGAGAGCTGGCTGCAGTTCCTCGTTTGTGCAAGTGGTTTGCAAACCAAGTTCCCAACGCCATATACTATTTTATATATAATTTGTGTAGTCAGTCCATACTGCTCCCAGACCATCCTACAATCACAGTTCCTGGTTCCTGCATCCACAGAAATGACCGCACCCAGCTGCACCACAAGTAGCAGATGTTTATTCTCACTGTTTTCCAGCAATGCACCTGCAAAGGACAGCCACTGCAGCCAAGGCTTGATGAAGCCGTGGATGCTGATGAGCTCACCTTCGGTGCCATGAGAGACTCGGGTGGATGGGCAATCCTGGTGAGCATGTGTGGGTGCCAGGGATTTGCGGTGGGAGTTGCTTCTCCATAGCCTTCTCCTGTGCTCATCAGCTGAGCAGTCAACATCAGACATTTTCCAAAGTATTTTGTTTCAAGTCGATTCAGAGTAGGGACTGCCTGTCTTTTTGGCTCAAGTCCAGGGCCAATCCTATTCGCTAACTGAATATATGCGGCATGCCATTTTGGCAGGCGCTTCTTTGGCATTTTGCGTCACAGGGCCACAAGTGGGCAGCACATCATTGCACATTGTGGCCTTCTGTGAAACTAAAGGAGTTGAATGCTGTTGAGTTGAGCAACGCTTTCGGTGAATTTCAGTCTTCGAGCGGGCGGTTGGTGGCAGTTTTGCGGGTTGAGCAGTTTCCCGGGTTAGCAGTTGGTTGGCTCCCTGCGTATGCACCCGCAGGTCAGATCAGTCTTCATATGCTGTGCCTTTGAGGTGTGAGCGTCGGGAAGTGGGTTCTTGTTGCGTTGGAAAGAAACAAACTAAACTCTGGCATTCATCGAAGGGCAGCCCCATGAGTGTCTTCAGATGGTGGCCGCCACTTACACAAGACACTTTGAACTTCTGAAATGCACAAGTCGTCAGACATTCCAGATGAATGAGTCTTTTGAGATTGTGTTCGGCAGGTGGCCTTCTCTCTGCTGAGGCCCTTTCGGTGCCATTTCAGTCTGGTTGTGCACGATCAGATAGGGAGGACACTTCCGAACAGTCCAACCATCGTCCGACGTTTGTCTTGTATGTCTCGTCAGGGAAACTGGCTCTAGATCCGATGGAATCCTCGCGCTTCAAGTGCTAGTCGCTCCTGTGGCTCCCGTGGCTGTGGCTTGGATGCAAAGTCGATGCGCTTGCGGCCCTTTTGACCACCTACAGCTTCAGTCTATGGCCTATGGGTGTAAAGTCCTGAGCAACATCAGCTGAGGATGTACGGGATATGCTGGTGCTGCCAACGAATTCTTCCATGTGGGAGTCTGCACGGCAGGCCTTCTCGCTGAAGAATGTAGATTTTCTCCCAGATTCCAATGTGCCCTCTGGACACTTGGCGAGTTGAGGCAGTCTGCATGTGGCACATTCCAATTCCCTTTTCAGCAGTGATGGCTGTGCCCTTGGAATCATGAGTTGGGCTAGACAAACAGCAGCTGTGGATTTGGGACTCATGGTTCATTATATACTATAGTTACTGTTGCCAATCAAACCCCCAAAACTAAGCCTTTGCTCGACTTCGAAACCATTGCAGTTCCGTTGCCTTTGCTCTCACGCCTTCCTTTGCGCCGGAAACGGGCCGGCCGTGCCAAGGATCCGATGTCTGGAACTCGGACGTCAAGTGGGCAAGGGTCACCGAATCGCACCCGGATGGTGTGGTTTCCACCCTGCCCAACCACAACGTCAGGCGAATCGCGACGAGTGTTTTGTTTGGGATCAGGGTGGATCTGGATGGGTTTGGTCCGATGATTGTTGGATGAAACGGATAAGACATGTGGTTTGGAAGCTGAGACCAAGCCTCCATGATGTGCATGTGTCTGCGTGACCGTGGCTGGCCGGATGCCAAGCTTTGGACACGCAGGTGGAACGATGTGTCCTACATCAGCATGCCGATGGTTTGCATCCTTTGCACTGTAGCTTACCCAGCCGTGCTCGTTGGAGGCCTCTTAGGCATGACAGTGTCACTTGGCTTGCCCCATGTGCTTTCTTGAAGAGGTCCACCATCCTGAATGATACTGTAAGATACTTGTATTATCATGTTGTGTAATGCAATGTTTTGTATCAGCAAACCGGCGGCCACAACACGACACAGATTGATTTAATCAACACTGAGTTGACCGCGATCCACCGATCGATAGATCGATACATAGATCGATAAATAGATCAATAGATGGATAGATAGGATAGGATAGGATAGGATTCAGATTAGATTAGATTAGAATTGCTTAGATAGATAGATAGATAGATAGATAGATATAGATAGATAGATGGATCGATAGATAGATAGATAGGTTAGATAGGTTGATAGGTTAGATAGAGCAAGACAAGGAGAGTGCAGCCACGGGCAACGCTGAGGTCTGGCCCAGTAGTGCCAATCACCCTGCCACTCTGGTAGGCACGATCATTGTGTAGGTATAACGCTATAGCAAAGCTGAGGTGGTGCAACTCACCATTCTGACCGCCACTCCGAGGTTGGTCAGCATGTGTCTAAGAGTGGAGGAGAGGTACCAGAAGACCATCGAGCACGAGGCTGCCGCACCCTCACTCAAAGTAGACGCAGTTCCACCCACCATGGAATCTTGAAAGTTCAGTTTTGGAGTCGTCTTGGGCACACTTTTGTTCATCCGTTTGAAAGTTCTTGTAGGCCGACGGTTCTGCAGAAGGAAGACAAGAGGACTGTGATTGTGCAGACGTTAATGTTGTCATTGCCGGCAGAGCCGGACATTTGAATGAGCTCCAACAGTGATGTCGCCTTTTGCGAGCATTTTGTAAACACATTCTAGGCCGCCGAAGCCTTTTCATTGATCCCCCAGCATCTAGATGACTTACATATTCATGAGACGCCCTTTGCGGATTCTAGGCCGACGGATGCTTCGGTTCTTTTCGGTCCTTTCGTCGGACGACTCAATTCTGCTTGCCGCTTTCCCTCAGGAGGCCAGAGAAGGCCAAGATCCCCTGCAGCCCTACATAGACAAGCTGCCAATCTTGCCAAAACATAAGCTAACACCAACTTCCAGGCAAGCACTCTTGCAGAATCAAGCTCGATCAAGTTTTCCGAAGGTTCTAAGAGTTTGGTGTGGGGGTGTGCCATGGTGAGCCAGTAACTATCCAGTTCGACTCCATGAAGCACTGGGCGACACAGTTGGTGCGACAGTGCTTTGTTCCACTCAGGCGGATTTACGATGTTTGGGCGACCTTTTGCTGCGCTGTGCCATCGATCATGGTCTTTGGCACGCCTCTGCTAATGATCATGTTGGCGCGACCCTTTCCCCAGGAGGCACGCAAGAATCAGGTTGAATCATTAAGATGAAGTTCTCCTCGATTTTGAGGCAAACAAACCTGCTGTGAGCTTCAATCATCTCTTTCAGAGTCCTTGAATTGAATGCATTTTTGGAAGCAACTTGCAACATCATGCAGCTGGACCTCAAGGTGCTAGCCGCCTTAACACTTTTAACCTCGGCCTTTGTCTTCCACAACACTCTGCGCCCGAGCTGAAATGCTGGCAGATCATGCGTATGACAAAGAACAAGTGAACACAGCTCCATAGGTCCCATTCGGCCTTTTCAACTCCCTAGGCCACGGTTCATCAAGGTTCAGCGGTTCGGCTTGAAAAAAGCCCTGCTGCAGGTTCCGTCTCACCAAGGTACATGTCCATCTTTGCAGGCTTTGGCCTTTGCAGGATGCGCGCATAGTTCCCAGAGGACCCAAAGGACTTCGCGGTTGATGAGACCATCAAGACAGAGTTGCACCCACGTGATGTGAAGCAACTCGGCCAAATGGACCCTGCTGGTGCTGCTTGAATGCATTGTGCTTTGGCTGCTTCAGCCTGAAGCCCATCATGTCTCCGATTTCGACATTTGGACTGGTCCCGAGGCATTGGCTGATTCTGTCCTGGCCTGAGTTCTACCCTCCTCACTGGGCAGGAGTGGCGACCATGGAATAAACATATACAGGTAGCAGGTTTTTGACCAATACGATGCATCCTAAACATGTGCTCAAAATGTGGCAAGAGCGGCAAGAATAGAGGAACACAACGAAGCTTGCACTTACCCTATCTTGCCCTTCAATCCTTCAGATTAATTTGATGTTTCACAACCTAGGCCACAGTACAAGGAAGATGTGGAGACCATCGGGATGTGTTTGAAATCGGTGGCGCAAAGCACCTACGCCAAAGCATCGATTGGCGTTGTTCTGGCCATGGAAGAGCGGGAGGTAGGCGCAGAAGGACCGACTCCACTCCCCGTGACAACCGATAGATGTCCACGCACTTTGTCTCGAAGAATCTCAAAGATCAGTCGAGAGAAGCCTGAACAGTATTTGTTCATAGGCACCAGCTGCAAGTGCTCATGTTGTGCTTGTTCCCACCAAAGGTGCTTCAATTCCCTTCGTCCTGCTGTTCTACCCGAGTTATGCCGATCCCAACCTTTTATTGGTAGGGATGCTTCTGTTGTAAGTTGGGTCACAGGTCCGGCTTTTCATTTGACCTGCTTGAGGCCCATGTTAGTGCCATGGCCACTTCTATCAGGTTTTTCAATGGCAGTTTCATCCATCACAGTCGCAACATGCCGCAAACGTTACCGCAACATTCCGCTCACCTGCTGCGGATCTCCAACTGCAACACAGAAGGAGGTTGTGGATGTCGTTGGATGAGGCATGATGAGGCATTCCTTCAGGAAAATAAAGGGCCTGGAGCGGACGTTGGGTCGTGCGTAGTAGCAGTTGGTCATAGTCACGCGAGAGTCATGCTGGAAGGAAAAGCACAAGAACTCAAGGAGGCGTACAAGGATGACTTTCTAGACTCTTGGAGGCCATTGATTCTAGGTGGGAGGCCATCGCTAGTAGGTTGGAGGCCATTCCTAGAAGTACTCTGGATCCATTGCTTCTATTATCCTGGATCTCTTGGCTTGGCCAATTAGCTGTGTCAGAAGTGCTGCTGGTGTTTAGTAAATTCATGCTGTGCTGAGGGATTGCATGTTGGTGCTTTGGAATGTTCTGAGCCAGAGCATTCAGCTGGGAGTGACTACATTGTGAGAGTACCCTTGTGTGGCAGCAAAGGAGATCATGGCAGTCTATCATCCGAAGGACCTTCCAAACGATCCTCCCGGCAAAGCCAGCAATGTGGCCTATGCCTTCAAAGAGCTCGTGAAGGTCAAAGATTGCGAGAATGTGATTCTTACCATTGCAGATGCAGATTCAGAATTCGGCCCAGGGTACTTCGAAAGTATATCCTGCCAATTCGTAGCG